TATTACCCTGCCGTGTACCCAGAGTCCCCACGAGATGGATGTAGAGTCCTCTTCGGCTTGGGCGGAAACCGCTCAAGCCTTTTATATGGCTAACAGGCCAATCGTTAGCCGCCACTTGTGAATAATCTAACACTAGCCAATCATGGGGAACGAATTTGCATACCGGTGGCGGGAACTCTTTTGCACCGTGCATTCCTCTTGCAACTTGAGCAATGCACCCTGCAAAAGAAGCTGCAGAAAAGGCGGGAAACTCGTCCCTGCACCGGGGTTTTCCTCTGCAACAGGAAACTCTCCCGTGCAATGAAGCTGCAACTTGGCGGGGATAATTCTGGTGCCGAAGCACACACAAAATCATGCCTTTGGGTCATGACAAGCTGTAGAGAAGAGAGTCCTTCTGTGCAGTGTTCCAGCACAGAAGAAAAGGTAATGACCTTTACGTAGAAATTGTTATAACCTAGTTCTGCAAGAAAAGCACGTAATGTGACCATAACACTGGATTCTTGTGAGGAAGTTATCTTCCCACCACCATTTTTCTTTTCCACATATAAACGATATTTAAAATATTTGTCATTAATTACAAAAAAATCTTTTTTCTTTCCCAGACGGATTTTGAATGATCAGGATATTATATGCTCTCTTAATTTTCTACTTGTTACCTAATCATAATAGCATATAAATATATAAATTGAGTACCAAGGTATTATCCATAATCGAAATGATTCACCCAAAGACTTTTGAAGTGGAATTTTCAAAAGTTGTCACTGCTAATCTCACTCTACTCACATGTAGTAGTAAACATAAGAATAATGATACATAGCACTTTTCATCTTTAGATCTCAAATTGTGGTTTAAAGAAGGTCAATATCATTATCCCTATTTTACAACAGGAAAACTTAGGCACAGGGAGGAAGAATGACTTGTGAATAATAAAGCTTCCAATGCCTTCAGTGACAGCAGAATTAAGCTAGTGCTGGGCACTTTTAAACATGGCACCCAGAGATTCCATTACTGTGGAGCTCAGGATGGTATATTTATGAAGTTCACTTATGGTGTTACCTGTGAGAACTGTGGTTTTCTGGAAACTCCTGGAAGCATAGCTACAGGAAAAAAAATTTCTATAACTAGAGCTATTTTTCCAGGATGGTTCACATTTGATAATTTTAGGCTGAAATTTTCAAAGCTCCTTATGGGTAAAATGTATAGCATTAGGACACCCTAAATGTCTAGGTGACTGAAAATCTATACTTCAATCTATTTACAGTGGCCTTATAATTTTTTATCTTTTAGTTTCACTGTGAACCTTTGGAAACTCACAAAATAGCTAGAAATTGCATTTATTTGTAAATACAATTATATCTGTGAGAACTCTTAATATTACATACACAAACATTTATTAAAAGCTATATACCCAGTATCAGCAGTCAGCAGTTTGCCTGGGCCCAATGGCTCCTTGGACTTGTGTGGTTAAGGTGCACTAGCTTCTATAGCCAATGGCACAGGAGAGAGTGGTATGGCCAGAATCACATCTGCCTACCTCTGTGTCCTCCACTTGAATCACTAGGTACCCATTTACAATTGCATCCAGAATAAGGTTTCAACTTATGCATCTAGAGCAGTGATTTTTCAACTAGGATGATGTGGCAGCCTAGGGTGCTGTGAGACCCTTTCAAAGCCTGAGGGTGCCATTCAATATTAGCACTGTTAGGTATGTAAATGCCTACACATGATTCACAAAATAAACCCATAGATTTCACATAGGGATACATAGTGTCAAAAACATTCTGACCTGTTGTGATCTTTCTGAGTTCTTTGAATCAGAATAATTGCTGTATTATTTTTCTGCACTCAAAAAATGAGTGAAATCTAAGTCAGGGTTGCCAACTCAAGACAATATTTTTTACTGACAATCTTCAAACGTTACTGACAATGAGACTTTTATACTGACTTCTAATAGCATCTGTTTTATGTAATGTAAATGTAGCCCTTCTGCCAGGCTACAAGGTCTGGGTTCAAATTAAGGGGTTTAACACCAGCCATAGTAAAAATTGTTGTCTATCAGTAAGAAGTTTGCAGATTATCAGTAAAAAATATTTTTTGAGCTGGCAACCCTGCTTAACTGTGGCAGTGGTTTTCTACTCTGAAGCCCCCATTTCAGGGGTTTCCTACTAATCCCCATATGCTGATGCCACAGACCACACCCGATGACATGCTGCCTCCCCTGCATGCTTCCTTTCCCTATCCCATTCCCAGGCTTACTCCTGCTAGTCCCATACCTTTGTCCTGACATGGACCCTCAAAAAGGACTAGTCTGCCTACTTGCAGGGCATGGGTCACCGCACATGGTTGGGGGTGGGGGAGGGAGCTATGGAGATTTCTGAGAGTCACAAAGCCCTGACAAAAGTTCCCTTTAGAGTGCTGTGCTCCTGCTCAGACACCAGATGGTGCTGCTCTACACTATCTGCCCTTGAACACTGACTCCAGCTTCTTTCTTGCAACAGAGCTTCTATTAATCAAGCTCCAGTGGCTTAGATTTTTTACACAGCTTAATCTTTTACAGACAGACTTGTTTAGCTTTGTGTTTTACGGTCTATCTATAAAGTTATGGACAATTGGAAACCCTGCTAAGAGCTGGCATTTTCAGAGGGGTGCCCTGAGTGTAAGAAAAAGGTTGAGAACCACTGATCTAGAACCACAGCAAGATGTCTTAACTGACCTGCCACTCTGCATAAGCCATTTTTTTCTCCCAGGAAGTGTTTGGACTCTATTTGTAATTCACAGGGACAAATTCAAATCTCATTTCAATCAATGGAAAAAGTCCCATTGATTCAATGAGCTTTGAATCAGGTCCTCAATATCCCACACACTAAGGGGCTTTCATTGACTTGTAATTCTGTCTGAAAAAGGACTGGAAGATTAGGCTTAGATATTGAAAGATAAGAGCTAGCCAATGTAATTTTGCTATTGGAAATAGTGGAGTTGCAGCTTAATTTATTAAGTCTGCATTTCTGTCATCAGGACCCAAATTCAAGAACACAGTTATAAATGCTTGTTTATAACAATTCTGATGATGGTTAAAAGTACCATAAAGATACTTTTTTGACCTTTCAAAACTGTCAATTACAAGAACAGGAAAAAAATTAAATTCTACCTTATAAATGCTTTTCTAATACCAGACAGATAAGGGATATAATTAAAGAGTTAGTCTGTTTTTCCAAAGGAGACCAGAGAAGTTAAGTCTAAAGGGATCATTATCTAATTCTCATAGGTTCCTGTGAAAATTCCAGTCCTTATGTTTAGTTTATTTTTGCTTCATTCTGAATTCATTTTTCTTTGGTGTTCAAAATAAGCATACTCTCATATAGCTTATTTACAATTATAGTAATTCCACAAGCCTGTCTTGATCACCAAAATTAGTCACATAACTTATTATTTTACATTTAAATGTTTGTACATGACATCCAATCCAAAGTTTCTTGCCTGTATTAGGTAGATATAACAGTTGACTGCTTTCTCATTTTTGTAATTGGTAATTAGAAAATCATCATTTATAATTACTCTTGACAGCTATTGATTGCATGGTCTTGTAGAAATAAGTTGTCCTTGGGGATTATCAACAAAATAAATTCATGGAATTAATTGTATTTAGATTTTTAAGTCCTAGTTCAATATTTTTAATTATCTTTGTGGTTAGCTATCTGATGACTACAGTTTTCATATGATTTTGGCAATATGCTATTCTTTAAGTGTGAAATTGCACTGTGTGAACCAAATATTTTACAGTCCAATCTTACACGGTACTGACCAGCAAAATGTTTTCAATTAATCTGAATGTATAATCACAGGTTTTAATGACTAATGGTTAGAAGAATGCATAGAAAATATGCTATATCTTAGAACTATATTAACGTTGGCCCCCCTAAGGAGTCTTGCTTGAGTTAGGGCTGCAAGATCAGATCCTAAATTTAAAGGAAGTGTTACGTCTTGAATAGTTTCACAAAGGATCAAAGATCAAGCATTTATTTATGTTTTGAAATTTGAACTGTAATCAGTTTATTTTTTTAATCCATGCAGGTTTACATATGAAATTGCACCTGTTTTTGTCCTCATGGAGCAGATAACACTTCGGAAGATGAGAGAGATTATTGGATGGTCAAATAAGGATGGTGATGGAATATTCTCACCTGGTGGGTATCTCTTACATTTTGACCATTTAATTGAAATGCCAACACTTAAATACTAGTTGTAGTTGAATGAGCATATTCCTGTACTTACCATAATGCAAAATCCAGCATCAGAGTTTAAAACTAACAATGTTCCACCTAAAGTATTTGTTTCACTCAGATTTCTCATAAGGAGTTATAACCATTTAGATGCATTTTTAATCTTTTTAAAAACATGAATTTGTATTAAATGTAGTTATGGATATAATGGTAAGATCCCTTCAGAAACTTGGCCAAAGCTTTCAAACTTGCGTGTCTAAAGTCAGCTGCCACAATCAATAATTAGGCACTTAAATATCCATATTCAGTAAATCTTATGACCATAGTCCCGAATTTCTAGAGGTACAAGGCAACAGCGAGTCCCAATGGCCAACAGTTCACACCTTGCAGATGTGGGATTGAGAACCTGGAAGAAGGATGGGCTGCCTTTTCCTTGCATCCACAGATACACCTGTGTGGTGGTAACTGAAGATTTAGATCTGTGGTGAAGGGAAGTTGGGGTTAAGTGTAGGCCACTCTGTGGTATCATCTGTCTTGAAAACTGAGGAAATCTGAGAGAATAGTTACATTAATCCAATATGATACATCACCCCCTTCTGAGCTCCAAACTTATTCCATGAAAGGAGCATAGGGACAACTGATAGTAGCAGAGGGGACTGGGAAGTTGTGCAGAGGCATAGGGCCTCCTTGTTGATGGCACTTACCTGTTGCACAATACCAGGTTGGTATGAATTTGTCAGGGTAGGGAAAAGGGAAAGAACCCTGGACTTGTTTCTGAGGATGAAAAACAAATTGCACTTCACTTTGGAATAGTCAAGCATAAAATCCATGAACGCAAACTTGCTAAGTTCCTATTTCCCCAGGCAGGAAAAATACACAAGGGGATCTGGCTCAATATAGTGGTTAATGAAAATATTTAAGAAAAGTTCTTGTAGGCTCTTAGTAATAGATCTCCAGTCACAGGGAATTAGGTATGATCCTGCTATACTTGTTAACAAGAAAACGTGGGTCTTGTTTTCAAGTGCAGCATATTGAAAACTGGTCCTTTAATTAATATGTTAGAGAAATATTAACAATCAGATGAGGAGATAAATGAGAAACTCTGACTTTCAATATGATTTTTTAAATGATCTGTCCTCAGACCTTTCAGATAGATAACCATGCATCCCATTCATTTATTCTTTTCATACTTCACTGGAATTTTCACTACAATGCACAAGTGGTACTGTGATATGACTTTGTTCCAATAGAGGTCATTTTTTCTCATTTTAAATATTTTATTATGCATTTTTATAGGGGGGGCTATATCCAATATGTACAGCATCATGGCTGCTCGTTACAAGTATTTCCCTGAAGTCAAAACAAAAGGAATGGCTGCTGTTCCTAAACTGGTCCTCTTTACTTCAGAACATGTGAGCTTAATGTACTAATTGTTGTTAATACATTGTTAATGGTTTTGTAGACATTTATCTAAATGATTCTTCCACCATTAAATGTGTGTATGTTTTGCTGCAGAGTCACTACTCAATAAAGAAAGCTGGGTCTGCACTTGGGTTTGGAACAGACAATGTGATTTTGATAAAATGTAATGAAAGGTAAGATGAATGTTAAGTTTGTGATATATTAAATGTGTTCATCTGTTAAATTTGTTTTATTGTGCCTAAGGACTGGTTCAGTACAGTATGTCAAGCTGCTAATGGCCTGTTGAAAAGCTCCTGTTAAGTTATTTCTGCTGTAGCTGATCCTGTTGTGTAGTCTTTTAATTTTCTTTGTCTCTGTTTCTATAATAATTACAGAGGGAAAATAATACCAGCTGATTTGGAAGCAAAAATTCTGGAAGCTAAGGAAAAGGTTTGCATTTTAAAACATAGTGCCTTAATGTTCAGGTCAGAATTTATTGTTTTCCTTTGGTAGCTGAGAGCTAACATTAAATCAGAATATTTATGCTAGAAGCTGTCAGAGCCTGTATTATTCTCCAATAACAATTTTGGTTAATAAGCTCTATGTTTATACAACATCTAGGAATATCTACATTTTTTTGCTTAGGTTTCCATTGATGACTTAATCATGTAGAGCTTTCAAATTCTTGACCCACATATATGGTTTCTGATTTTTTTTTCCTTTTAACTTTCTGTTCTGGAATATTTGAAAAAAGATCGTTGAAATTAATGTGTCTGAGGGCTCATCCTAGGAAGTCTCCACAGTTCCCATTGATTCTTTCAGGATCAGGCCCTTGACTACTTATTTAATTTTCTCGTATGAGGAATTCTATGCTTAAAATAATGAATTTGTTATTGCTTTTGTTTTTTAATGTTTTAAAAAACAACAGAAATGCAACAAAGCGGATTTGCCTAGTTGTTTTGCAAGTGTTCAAAAGAAACTACAGCATGCATAAAACAATAATACAGTTGTGTAGTTGTGCTGTCCTAGTAACGTGTGTGCAGGCATGCACACAGATGTGTGTGTGTATATGCATATACATATACTTTAAGTTATGTTTCTTGCAATTCAGAAAGAGGTAGTTAGTTGTGTTAGTGTGCAGTCAGTCAGAAGTCAGGGTAGATATGCACCTTTATACACTAACTAAATAATATATATATTTTTTAAAACACACACACATATATATCCCTCTGTGTGTGTGTGTGTGTGTGTGTGTATACACATATATATATATATGGAGAGAGAGCACAAGCTTTTGTGAACCAAAGTTCACTTCAGATACTGTGAAAGGACATGCAGAAGCAGAGTTCATGCAGTTCAAGCATTTTATTTTGAAAAAAATGTATATATGTGTGTGTGTGTACATCTACTTTAAGTTATGTTTCATGCAGGTCACTTATTTTATTTTTACATAACTTACAGTCCCTGCTTTTGTTCTGTTACTCTATTTCAAAAAAATTAAAGGCAAGTATCATCTTAAGAGTTACACTTAATCAAAATGATTTTTTCTAAGTATTTTTAGCACGATTTGACCATTAAGGAAAAAAAAATATTCTCATTTTTACATGTTTACTTTCCACGTTTTCCAGCACTTCAGTATGGAGAAACAATAACAAAGCCAGCAGTTTTAACCATGTATAGCCAATTAGTTAATTTATTTCCAGAGTTGCTTGCATGGGTCTTGCAAAGAGCAAGGAAAAGGAAATCATCTTAAAAACAGGAAAATGGGTCAGTAAAGCATCAACGTGACACTAGAATACAGGAACAGGTGAAGCACCTGAAATTACTTTTAAGCCTTTTCTCTGGAAATAGATTAGCTTTCATTTATGATCATTTGTTTATTTTTATTGTAGGGATATGTTCCACTGTATGTTAATGCAACTGCAGGCACAACAGTATATGGAGCCTTTGATCCAATACAGGAGATTGCAGATATATGTGAAAAATATAACCTCTGGCTCCATGTGGATGTAAGTAACCAAACACACTGCTAACACTAATTCAGGTTAAAAAGCATTCCTTTTTGTTCCAATTATTTTATGTTGAATTTAAATATTTGAGATTAAACTGTGTTTACATTTCCTGCAATTCTGATATTAAGAGGATTGAAAACAGATAATAATTACATTCTACAAAATCCCTCCACATATGGAACTTCTTTTAGGAGTTCAGTGGTTAGAGGGTTTGCAGGTTTGAGTTCATGGCAAACTAAAATATTTTAGGCTTTCTAAAAATATGAACCTTTCCTTGTCCTTCCATCACTTGCAGGCTGCTTGGGGAGGTGGACTCCTAATGTCCAGGAAGCATCGCCATAAACTGAATGGAATAGAAAGGTACTATACAGGGCTTATTGGCATTGCTGTATTTTTTTGTGGTTGCTCATAACTGCACTGGCACTTCACCAATGCGTGAAAAAAATGCAGTCCCTTCCTACCTACAACTTACACTGTTAATTATCCAATCTGTTAATTAACCTGAAACAATATAAAACAAGACAGGGGCAAGCAGGTTGCAAACAGCACTGGAAGGGAAATCAGTAAGGGAAAGCTAAATGAAAGGTAAGTTTAAAGGAAATTTGAAGGAGATAGGGAGATTACTTGGCAAATAAGAGGAGTGACTGAATTGGGAGTGGGAGAAGTTGACAAGGGGAAAACTCTTCCCTCCCTCTCCAGGGCTGAGAAACACAATGATAGCAGCAGAACTAGTACAGCGCTCCACTGTGCAGGGGGAGAAGGATTTGTAAAGCTCATAGATGGGGTCTGCACCCTGAATGTCAAAAACAGAGTACCACAGGTACAGATTGCATTTCTTTGGAGCTCTGGATGTTGGATCTAGGACTATCCCAACTCTTTCCTCCCTGGAACAGGAGCACAGGTACCCCATGATTACAAGCTTCAGGCTACTCTAGTGGTTTGCAAGAATATGCAGTATGGCTCCATGGCCCCTCCAGTATTCCCTAGTACACAACCCAGTTCAGAAGAAACTGTACTGAGACCAGGGTGTAGCCTTCATTGAACAGTTCATTGTACCAAGTTAACCAAACTTAGAACAGGCAGGGAAGGGGTCCTTGCTGAACTTCAGCAAGATTCACATGCAATACTATTTTCAAAAACCTTGTCTCAGGACAGGACTCTTTCCTCCCCATTTCTAGGCTTGTCCACATTTCAGAGATGGTCCAGTCTGTTATGCTGGGTAACCTTTGATACAAAGGTGTCTCCCAGTGATGGCAGGGTTTTAATCTACAATAGTTGATAGTGCATATTCCCATGTGAGAATGTTTCTTGATTCACCTGTTTTCCACTGTATCAACAAGCACAGCCCATCTGGAAGAAATCTGGAAAGTGATGAATAACCAAACAATACATAATCTGCACAATTAATATACACAAAATACCCAAGGAATGCAAAAAGGTGTTTGAGGCAAGATCTACAACACATAGCCAAATTACCTTGTAAAGGCCTAACATGATATTGCTTCCTTATCCCCAGTGCAGTCATATCTAATTCCTGGGATAATCAAAGTAAACATAATAGGGTAAGACAGAGAGCAGTATAATAAGACAGTAAAACATGTTTGAACCCTTTCTTCATAGATTTCATAGACATTAGGGCTGGAAGGGACCTCGGAAGATTCTCTTGTAGGGCACAAATTGCCCAGTAGGAGCACACATCATACAGCAAGTAACAAGAAAAATAGCTAAGTGAAGTTAGAGTTTGGGCAGACAGTGTGAATCTGCCAGGTTCAGGGATCAACAAGGCAATGCGCTGCACCCTGGCAGGGAAACCAAAGTTAGTATCCATTGCAAACATTCTGTGGATTTGTGGCATATCCAGGAATACCTCCATGCTGTGACTGGCTTGCTGCCATGGGGACAAAGCCTTAATGAGCTGCCCTGATATGTGCCTTCACTGTCTAAATATACATGACAACAAATGGTATCTTCATGTTCACAAAAGTCTAATAGTCACCCCCCACCCCTTTTTTCTTCTACCAAATCCTGCAAAAATTACTTCATCTCCTCTTTGCTTGGCACCTTGAAACTTAAAAATATGACTGTGTAACTGAAGTGGTAAATTGAGATCTTTTGTAGAACAGGAACTAAATAAATCCTATTTTCTTAATGTACTTATTTAATCTGTTGTTGAACTTTTGGAAAATGTAATCCATAAGTCTGTTTTCCATATAGAGGCCACAAACTTCCTGTGTGTTTGAGCAGCCCTCTGACGCTTGCTTAATTCCCAGACAACTCTAAAGCCCTGATTCAGTCCATGTTCACTAACACTGGCTAGACACGGGTGTAACTCCATAAATTTTAATTCTGAGAGCAGAACTCAGAAGCAGCTGCTCCAGATTAAATTTGCTAAAGGCAAATCTGTTTTCCAGATCTTCTCTGAGCGTGTACTTCTTTTGCAGAGTCAACTCAGTCACGTGGAATCCACACAAGATGATGGGAGTCTTGTTGCAATGCTCTGCCATTCTTATTCGGGAAAAGGTCTGGTTTATATTGTTTGATAATCTTGCAATTTAACAGCAAAACACACCCCAAACTTTTATGGGCACAGTACAAGGTCCATTTCTTTTGGTTGCCTTTTTCAAAAGAGAAAAATTGTGTGGATTTATATTTTGTTTATTTGGGGGAAGAAGGAAATACCTTTTGCTTTTGCTGCGTTTGATTAAGGTAGTAAATATTATGGAGCAGCTGATGAAACTTGGAATTGTCCAAAGGGCATCAGTGGAGCCAGCATACTGATGTACATCAGCTAGACAGCTGTCCCTATATGTTTGTCATACACTGTATGTGCACCTTGCAGGTTGGTAATTTCAGAAATGTACAACTCAGTAAATAAACAGTAAATATTTTCCATCACACATGTGGCTTAACAGTTTAAAATCCTGTTGGAAAATGGCCATGTTACTTTCATTTTTTACTTATGATTTCAGATGCAGTTTTAGGACCTCATCATCTTGGAAGTGTTGCCATGATCATCAAGGGGAGCAGAATTAGAACCATATTTACTAAGTGTTTTTGTTTGGTCATTCAAAGTCATATCATCTATAAGCAGGAGCATTTTTTTAAAATCCTTTCTGACCTCACTGTCTTGTCATTTGTTCTTGGCAGCAATTAGCTGAAGAGTCAGTGATGCCAGGTGAATAGAGCCCTAACTGGGACTTAGGAGACCTGTGTTTTATTCCTGGTGCTGCCACTGACCTCCTTGGGTGACTCAGTGGATCTTTCTATGCCTCAGTTTCCCCATCCATAAAATGAGGTTAATGATGTTTAGCTTGCTTTGTAAAGCATTTTGGGGTCTCATTATAGGAAACATTAGTTATTACTAGCAGTATGCTTGCTTAAAGAGCATCACCCCAGTTATTGCAAGGTGTTGCCAAGGTAACTCAAGTAAGGGAATGTTGTTTCTTCATTATATTTCTATGTACATCATAGCCAGGAAAGAAAATATACTATTCGTAGGTAAGTTAATAGTAGTGAAATGGGCAGCCAAAAATATTTTTTTTCTGTTCTTTTTATTTTTATTGCTGGTGTTACATGTCTCATCTAGTCCCAGTTATGCCTACATTTATAAATAACGTTGAGCAACAGTAGAGTTGGCCCATGAATGCAGTCAAAGCCCTCCTTTACATTTTAAGTTAATTTCTCTTTGACACCTTCTTCATCATTATATGTTTATCCCAAACTGTAAGATTGTGTGAACTCATTTTAGTCTACAATTGAACCTCCAAAAGTCTTATGTTTTAAGAATAGACTTTATATTCTATCAGCCTGTGGAATAAAATGGGATGTTTGAACAGCAGGTTAAGAATTCAGACTGATTTGGGGCTGTTACTTCTGATTTTTTTAAGTACTGATAAAACCTTTGTTTTTCTTAGTATGACATGGATACTATCTCTCCACTTGACTAACCAGGGATTAAGGCATCCAAATGACTGAGTTGAGGACACAAAATTGTATCCATGACTTGTGTTCCTCAAAACCAGTCAAAAGTTGAAAAATTGTCCCTTGTAATAAATTTTTTCTGTCTGCAGGTATTTGAGAAGTATGTGTATGATTAATAAATGTGTTTATATGCGCATTATACATATTTCACACTTAGTAAAAATATATGATTTTTATAATAGGGTATACTTCAAGGTTGCAATCAGATGTGTGCAGGATATCTGTTTCAGCAAGACAAGCAGTATGATATATCCTATGACACTGGAGATAAGGCAATACAATGTGGTCGTCATGTGGACATTTTCAAATTCTGGTTGATGTGGAAGGCAAAGGTAAATAATAAAGGTCACATTAAAATGTTAAAAATGCATTTAGCATATGTCATGTCAGAGTTTAAAAATCATTTTTTAAATAATTGTTGTAAGATTGCTCTCTATAGGTACTGCTAGTTGGTGGTGACTAGCAGGA